TTAATATTTACTTCTAGATAAAATATACTTATATATGTATTTTATACGTTACCCTAGCATCTCACAACGCAAGCCTTACAGTGCTTACTTTGGGGCTCAGCTAATTTAATTAAATTTGGCAAAAAAAGTAAAAAAATTGAAGCGTGGACAACGCTGCGGCCATAATCACTCAAATTAATTAAGCGAGGTTTTGTAAATGAAGCAATTCTATTGAAGAATTTCCATTCGCGTTAGTTTTTTCGAACATCTCTGGTGGAACAGCATCCTAAAGACAGTTCAACGATAATAAATTTGGCAAAGCGCTTTTTGGCACGCAGAGAACTCCTACAACGGCAGATGAAAGTCAGTCGAATGTTTTAATACTTGGTCCCGGTGGAGTGACCTTAGGTATATCTATAACTATCTATAACGGCTCAGACTGAGACGCTTTCTGTTTCAAAATGTTAGAATAAGAAATTGAAGAATGCGTGGGAAGAATATCACGAGATAGGTATTTATTTAAATTAATCTTGGCATGAAGACAATAATATAAAAATTACGTTTCCTTATTTCTCTTCATAGCATAAATCATCGAAACCATCGTGTGGATTTCACTTATGGTAACATTATGAAAAGTTATTTAAATTGCGAATTAAATATTATTTTAAAATTAAAAAAAGTATGATTGACGACCTCCGTGGCCGAGTGGTTTGTACGCCGGGTTTCATGGTGTCGCCAACTCGAGAGGTCCCGTGTTAGAATCCCAATGGGGACAGATGTTTGTGTGATGAATACGAGCATTTGTACTCCAGTCATGGATGTTTAATATGTATTTCATATAAATATACTTATATATGTACCATATAATTATGTATTCTATCCGTTACCTTAGTATCCCATAACACAAGCCTTTACAGTGCTTACTTTGGGGCTAGGCTAATTGGTGTGCTTAAAAAAAAAAGAATTATCAAAGTAAAGGTCCAGTGGACCTAACGAACTACCTTGTGGAACACTTTCGCTATGCGAGGCTAGATTTGCAATGCTTCTGATCGTTGTTACAAGGTCATCATCTGACATTATCATTGCTAACTGATTACATTAAGAAATGTAGATTTGTTGCGTGGTTGGAGAATAAGTTGTACGTATAATACAAATTTTATTTTACCAAATAATGATTTTTTTAAAGAGCGACGATATTTTATGTCGTTAAAAGTACAGAGTTCTGTAATAAATTAAGGAATGTAAGCAGGTTTTTTTCTCATACACTAAATCACAAGTCGATCCATTTGCAAATTTAAATTAGTTTCTGAGTTATAAATATTTTTTTATTTGCATTTGCAACCAATGCTATGTTGAGTCATTGATTAATATCTAAGCAAAAAGAATTATTGTTTTTTTTGTTACTTAATTCCTTCAACAAAAGTTTTCATTTTGAACGTAACTATGAAAAAAACTTACTTAATAAAAGAGTTCAATATGTTTGCTCAACTCTAAATTAATTCATACAGTTTCCAAGTCCTAATAAAGAAGTTCGATAACATCTAAGGAGGACTTAAGTTCATTGACTTCATTTCTATATACAAAGCAATACTCATTTCATATATACAAACAGAATTGACAGTAAAAAAATCGTTAACTAGTTAGCTGTTAAAAAAATTGCTACTGACAGTTTCTAAGTAAATTTTAATATTTGAGGCAACCTTCTGCAGACTTAATCGTCAGTATGTTATCATAATCAAATAAAATGATTATACACTACTTGGCAAACATAAAAAAGGAAATAATAATAAAACTATTTAGATTAGCGTTCTATGAAAAAGTTATTGTTGGGAATATTATCTACAAAAAATGTAGATAAATTTTATGAGAAATGATGCTGGATTGGGATTTAAAAGGCAAACAGGTTATGATAGTTGATAAACTCATTCGTACAGATGTTTAACTTAATGTCTTTGGTACAGATGGTAAATGTCTATGTCCAGACACGGTAGTTTAGTAAACTATAGCATTTACTAGGCTCTGGCAATATCAAGAGTGAAGTGAAATGTAATATGTAAATGGATGTATATAAAAAATTACATCTTAAATGTGAACATACTGTGCACTTATCAGATAACGCATTCTAAGAATTCTTTTATTTCCAATCCAGCATGTTGGATGTCGCGAAACTCAATTATTTATGAAAATATATACAAAAATTAAAGCTTTATAATTACAATTGTAGTATTAGGTTAATATTCAGGATAAAAGATTTTCTTTTGACATAAGATTTCTGGCTGAATTGTCTACATCTAAGGTCGATGATAATGAAAATAAACAAATTAGTTGCAGCTTTGTTTTGAACAGTCTATCAAAGGATAGAATAGTACCACAGGATGTTGTTGTAGGTACATCATTATTGCATAACTAAGAAGCAATGTGGGCTACCGTAAAAGGTGAATTATCTCAAATTAGAACCATTTACTTACAGTCACATCTGTCATGCATGTAACGTGTGTTCCGGCATAAAATTATGTATCTAAAGATGGATGGATAATTGTCGAATGATTTATTAGAGCTTGAGCACTAAAATCATTTAATTGGTTTAAGATCATATGAATATCTGGAGAGAAAATTTGGTAAACTGTAGTAGAAATTATTATACAAAACGCGATGGTGTACCTATTGCAACTTATTGTCATAATTAATATTAGAAAATTAGAAAATTACGAAATTGATGGCAACAAGGTGGTCAGAAATGTTTTTGGTGTAGTATCAGCATTACATGAAACATCGCAGCAAAAAATATGTTATGTTATGTAAAATTAACCAAATCAACATCCTTATCAGTAGCCAATAGGTGAATTTTGAGAGCCTTTCAAGTATGGTGATTTTTTGAAACATCGACATAAAAACGATGTTAAAACCAACCCAAGCAACATCCTTATTAGTAGCCAATAGGTGAATTTTGAGAGCCTTTCAAGTATGGTGATTTTCCATTCTATACTATTGAGATCGTCGTCGTTTTATGTGCCAATGAACTTGAATCGTGTGAAGATCAAGGCTACGTAACTGATCTTCGTCTTTACGAAGTTATTGGACTTTATTTCGGCATAGCAACTTTAATTGACAATACTGCTCAACAGCTGCATACTTTTATGTTTGCTTCTGATACTACCATTTCAATAAGATTTACATAATGTTGACAGTTAAAGTTTTATGAGTTATAACGAAAATTTTAATAATTGTAGTAAATAAAATATTGTTTTTGCGATTTTTAAGTGTTACTTTTAAGTTTTTTTAAACAATTCAAATTTCAACAATGTCTTGTTATGCATATAATTATTTGCACACGAAAGACCGCTTTGTTGCTAATGCGTCAAGTATTTGTGTAGGTATCGAAGCCAATTTGTCTATGACGTAAAATTGTGTGACAGAACGTATATACATCGATTATTGTAATTTATTGGTATTATCTTTTTACAAGGAAAATGGTATTTTTTTATTAAATAATTACCATTAATAATAGTTAATAGTAGGTAATAAAAACATAAAATATGTTGACTTTTGTAATGAATGGATTTATATAATTTGGATTTTTAAAAACATATCTATTTAGATTCCCATGCCCACTGCAGGGGCACAGGCCTTCTATATTAAAAGAATAGGCAGACTGGGTCGTGACCTACCACGCGGGCCCTGTACGGATACAAGCCTTTTATTTTATAGATACATTAGGTATACTACAAGGTAGTATTTTAAGTACACAAGTGTTTTCATATACAAGAGCCCGTGTATATCCTAAAGTGACATAAAGTGTACGGTACACATAATGCCACTTATGGATGGCTCGGTCAGGCTTAAACTTATAGGCTTAATCCGTATGACCTTGTTCACGGACGTTCCGTTTAGACGGTATGAACTTTTCAAAATCGCTGCGTTTTTTTGGATCACAATAATTAGAAGACCATGAAAACGAGGTTTATTAGGTCTTTATTACTATTGATTTCAAAAGTTTAAATTCCACCTGCTAGATTCTGTTAATACCTAAATGCAGCTGAATTAAGGTGGTTTAGTCCCGCAAATACCTGGATTGAAATAATCTTCCATTATATACGCGCAAAATAGAAAAAAATAAAAAATTGCATGTCCAAACGTTTTGGAACGAATGGAACAAATTCCTGCGGCCGCCAAACTTCATTTCTAACTTCGTCTACCTGTTGTTTTTTGAACGTCAACGGGATTGTAATATTCCGCCAGCAAGACTGCTATACTCTTCTACAAAAACCGTATTATTTCTGAATCGTTACCAGCACCGACATTTGAAAGGCAAAAAAAAATGTTAAGAGCGACCTTGCATTTAAATATCCACTAGTTCAATATAAGCATCTGAACGGATCTTAGAATTGCTAGAAAGGTGAATTAAAACATTTGCACGTAGTGGCTTGCTAAAGTACATCATTGAATCATCGTTACTTGCAAAACTCATTGTTGCGGAGTTTTTGCACGTCAACTTTGTGTTGCTATGCAAATAAAAAAGTGCATCCCGAGAAACATATTGCATAATTAATTTACAACATTAAAAATATATTAAAGGATTTTGACTGAAGGTTTCACTTTTACGATTCTGTCTTTGGATAGTTACACAACCTGACTGAGTTGTGTATTTGTCACGATTATTTCCATCGACATTGTTATTAGCAATTTGTTTTTTTTTTCAGTTTTGATACATCGTTGTAAGCCGAGCGTTACATAAAAGCGATGTAGAAACACGTGAACACGATCATGGTTAAAATAATACAATAGTAATGGACCGACGTGAATACAATGCGCCATGTGATGAAACCCTGAATGAAATAAAATATCTCATGGTACCGAAGGAGAATTAGATAATAGAGTGAAACTCAGTTGACACTGTCGTACAAAGCGTTTTAATTCAAGGGTAACAGGGATTGTTGCCAATTCGTTTATTTCTGGACTGAAAGAAATGCTTCAAGATCACGGCGAGACGGCACGGGTGTCGGTCGACCAGTTCCACTTACCAAGCAATGTGATCGGTCTGTTAAAACACTACACAGGTGGCACAGCGTGCAATTTCCTTGGCGATTTGTATCGCTGTTGAGTTCGCGCGGTTATAGCGGGATTGACACGTCAGTCTCGGTTCGCGGTCCGGTATCAACTGACAGCCGCCGTGAATCGCATACAGATCTACAGGTGCTGACGAGTGACGTATTCAGTGTATTTGTTTATGTGTGTTCTGAGTCGATTAATCAACAGAAATTGAAGCGGCGCGCGGCGCTTTGATTTGAAACAACTACTTGCACTGTACCCTTCTTTTTGCTTAAATCAAAAATTACATATTTGCATCACTTAGATTTCAGAACAAAGAGTACTCAACAACGGTGTAGTTACATAACGCTAGTAAACTTATAGCTTTGTTTATACTTATTTCATCGAATGTGACTAAGAATATTTCTTGAAAACATCTGAAGCAAGAACTTTCCACCATCCTATCAAACTACTTAACTCGCGGTCTAGAGTTGAATTTTTGCTATTTTGTGTGCATGCATTTGTACTTCAGCAATGAATTAACAATGAACTTACTAACAATGAAATTACAATGAGCAGACAATGGATTTAAAAACTCATGAATCCTGTATAAAACCCTGAGCCAGACATTTTTTCAAACTGCCTTCACCTGCGGTTTCAGTAGAAACTCTGGTCAAAGACAACACCCAGGTCTTTGAATATGGAATAATAGAACCGTTCAAAATACCAATTATGATGGACTGAGTTTTTTCTAGATTTAAGGTTAGTCCCAATGTCTCACTCCTACTACATATAAGTGACTTAGCGTTGATATTCAAAACTGCGCTAAAGAGGTCAGATAAAAAGGCCTGTATGTATATCTGGAGGTCATCAGCATAAAGATGATATGAACATGAAGTAATGAGGATCGAGGTAGAAAAATTGCATCAATACTTTAAATCTAGAAGAAGAAACAGACAAGATGATTCAACAGTTATTATAATTGAAAATAAAGACTTCGTAATAAACGTATATATTAAATCGGTGCCTCAAAATAAAAGGCATAAAAAACTAGTAGGACAGCTTTATAAATTGTTAAAACAAAATATGAAAAAAAGGGTTAGTCGAGTCATTCTGATTATACGAAAAACTTCTTATGATAGTACTCAGTCATATTGAATCAAATTATCTCCAAATGCAGAGTAATAGTTAATTAAATTACCTCTAATGACAAAAAACACAGAAAATCGGACGTGTAATTTATTTTTTATTTTGGGTCTTTGCAAAAACTAAATCTCCTTAAGTTTTCAGGAAATTAAATTACTGATATAAATTTGTTGAATCGTCAAGTAAAACAAATAAAATGCTAAATAAATTTAGTGGGTATAGACGATATAGCTACTGCTATACTGCAACACTGGTCGCAGCCGAACGCGCTAACCACTTGCGCCATCGAGCTCCTCAGCCTATTCTAACCATACTTTATTCAGCTTTCTCATCCTATGCCCAATAGTGAAGATCGATTAGGTGACACCATGATGACACAATTCAAATTCGTGTAGAATTCGTCGTATTGTAGTACAATGTACCTAGTTTTTTTTTTATTATGTTATAGGTGGCATACGAGCAGACGGCTCACCTGAAGGTAAGTGATCACCGTCGCCCATGGACACTTGCAACACCAGGAGTATCACAAATGCGATGCCGGCCTTTAAGGAAGGAGTACGCTCTTTTTTTGAAGGTTTTTGGGTCGTATTGGTCCGGAAACACTGCTGGCGACAATATATTCCACAGTTTTGTCGTACGTGGTAAAAAAATTCGTTGTATTCTCTTAACAAATAAAAGTAAACATATAACTTTAATTCTTCTATTAAGCTTCATTTGCTAGAGCTAAGCACAAGTTTTACAAAAAAAATTGAATTTAACAAATCGAAATCTTCCGCGATTACCTTTTGAGGTCGTTATCAGATTACCAAATTGCTATCGTGGTAGCTTATATGACACACGCCTATTCAGTTGCAAACGTGTCTATTTATAACATCCGTGCAGACTACAGATAGATCTATAACTGTTATCAGCAGAATAAAACGATATTAAGAACCCAAAATACTTTTAAAATTTCATTAGTAAGTATTAATAATAGTTATTTTTAAACGTTAACTTTATAATATGATTTCCAATATTATGACGACCACGTTATAGTTAATAATAGTCAAAATTTACCTACAGTATGCTTTAGGATATTCGTTTAGCTACATGTTTGACTTTGATAACAGCAAATGATTTAACTTCTTATTATACAAGAAATATTGTATATATATTTTTAAGCATTCCAGTAATTTCTAGATGTTTAAATCTGAAGATAATATTACTACAGATAATTCCATTTAGACCAAAAAGGTGCTGGTTCGATTTCCGTCTTAAATCTGGACCGAGCGTATTTTTTTCGAGTAATGTTTTCTTTAGATTTATACAAGAAGTAGCTTTTACGCCATATATACATGGTGGATTACGGGATATTATGGGGTTGAAGCCTTGGTTTACTTTAGAAATTGAATTTATAATGTTGCCACATCCACATCATAAGTTTGCATGAAACAGAATGCGACGCGCTCGCTCATACGCGGGGAATTCCCCTTCACATCTGTCAGTTCATTTTGACAACAAGTGCTGCCAAACTTAGAGCTAAACGATAGGAACATTGCTTATCGATTGAAGTTCTAATAGTACATTGTAGCATCCCCGCTAATAATTTGTCTAAGTCATTAACTCACATTTATTAGAAACAGGTTGACGGCATTCGGGAGATCTAACCAGAATTTGGCCGAAGAAGAAGTTCGATAAAAACTGCCGAACATAGGTAATACCGAATGTGAAACGGATTTCGGTGCATCTCTAATAATCTAAAACACGATGTTGTTAGTGATTATAATACACGTACGAGTAGGTAACTAAAATTTCTGTCCTTTAGCAAAGATTTGAATAGTTAGATATGCCCTGATACAGAAAAACTGTAAATATATTTTGCAATGACGTTATGAAGATGGCCATTTTGACATATTACAATAGTGAAGTGAAAGTGATTTTATTATTGAAAAAATAAACTGATGCTAACAAATGCGAGTCTCATTTAGATATTTATTTTTTTAGTATTTTAACCAATATTGCAAACAGTAGCTGATCAAAAGGATTGAATCAAATGAAAAATATAAATGTCTACATAAGCTCAACAATCCTATGTGCGAAGTTTTAACAGTACATTGTAGCAACCCCGCTAATAAGTATAAAAGAGCATCAAATTAACGAGGTGTATCTCATTATAGCACATTTATTAGAAACAGGTTGACGGTTGTAGTAGTTTCGGAAAGAAGACTTTGACTTTGTTAATTGTACCGTGCTTTTACGCATCTTCGCGGGAAAGTTGACAGCTGTTAAGTCATTTGTGCTTTCATTCCTCAAATTGTTTTCATGATTCTTGTAATAACAAATAAAATAAGTAAACATATAACTTTATTCTTTTTAGCTTTATTAGCTAGAGCTAAGTAACATTGAGATAAGATAATGAACTTATAATTATGTCACATGATATGTTCCATGTAAATTTTATATAGCGGGGTGTGCCAGTCACAAGGCTAGTATATATATGGTATAATATGACTTTACTGTGTACTTTACTGATTAACAGATAATGGATAGTGACAGATTTTCATGATTTATCATCATTATCTGATAGGTATGAAACGAAAGTCAATGCATGATAGTGGAAATTAACATATATAATGGTGTCGATTCTGGCATGATTATCTTAACCTAAACTTAAATTTGACAACAGTATATCTTTGTCATTCTGTATACGGATTGTAAAGGAGAGCCTGATGTTAAATTTAGTTTTAAGTTTAGAGAATTATGCCAGTATTGACGCCATTATATCCTATCTTTATTAAACGGATGACGGAATTAAGGTTTTAAACAATTTTGAATTTCTGTTTTTTAATGAAATAAAGAAGTTATCATTTTAGTTTTTTATTAAAATTGCTAGTGTATAACATCTTTTTATAAGTATTTTTTTGTAGAGTCCTTGTTCAGGGCTAGTGTTATGAAGAATAATTGGCGAAACAAAACCACACATTAAATAAACAGTAACGTGTTTAAATTTAGAGAAAATGTTACCAGAAATTTCCCCCTCTCGGGGGATGATCGCTTCAGATGAAGCTTGTAAGGCCCTTCTGGCCATAAGCATGATTAAAGGTTGTTTTTTAGTCAGTAAGAGTTTGACATAACCCTACAGCCGGCTGTAGGGTATCCATGAGGATTTCTCACCCTCTCCCCCGCGCGGGAGGAAACAAGAAAAAAAACAGAAATTGTTTCACACGGTCCGATTTCCAAATTTGGTGATGGGATCCCACCATCACAGATTTAAGGATCTCGCAATTAAATGCTTAAAATAAAAAAACGAGCGAGCCTTACAGCAGTCGCGTATGATGTGTAACATTTGAAACCTCACCTTATATACTAATATAAAAAAAAAGAAATAAAACCTACTACAAAAAAATAAGCCATTTGAACATTATGTTCTAAAATCAAATCAAATAGCGCGCGCTTTCACGACTTCCTGTTACACACTTCCGTCCCATTTCACGAGATCACTCGCACAAATTGCAGGAAAGCGAGAGGAAAGATGTTAATACGGCCGATGTTCGGTTTGAATATGTTCCGAAGCCGAATGCCGGCCGAATTTAAGTTGAATTTAGCCTAATTTTTTTAACAAACCAAATGTTTAAATATTTTGTTACAATAACAAAAATACTAAAAGTCAAAGTATCATTATCTATAACAAGTAACAAAGAAGAAAGAATGTTGTTACTTCGCTGATTATTTTAATTGATATTTTTATTTCATATTTTGATATTCTTGTCTCAGGCAATAAAAAAAACACTTCCGTTATACCTATTTGCTTACAAACTATCATTTGATCAAGGTTTCATTTTAAGATATTTTTTTTTAACTTTTCAGAAGATTCAACCAAAATTTGGCCTAAGACGAAATTCCGTATAAACTGCGGAACTTCGGCAATACCGAATATGAAACAAATTTCCGTGCATCTCTAATAATAATCTAGAACACGATGGCGTTAGTGATTAAAA